CATTGATGGTAAATATCTATTTTTAGATCTGTCTCGAATCTTATGATTTTGATTGGTTAGTGCATAATCTGTGCCGATTTCTGACCAATCAAATACCTAAGATCTCATTTGAGCTTTGAAGAACCAATGAACGCTTAGTTAAGAATTAACCTGCTGAGTACGTGTATTAGACCTTCTTGGTGATTAATTATGTCGAAAGGATTTCGGTATTAAAATACGGAGATTCAGCGACCAAAAAGGAGTCGGACTACCCAGACCTTTCAGATCTATCGTCTGGTCAAAATGCCTCTGTATCAGTGGAATATGTACAAATACATCATGGAATAATATCGAGCGATACAATAACGGTGTTCAGTGGGGCACCGTATGGTTATTATTGTCAATAGCAGTCAAATGGTTAACAAGTGCGCGTATGCGCTGAACATACTGCTTATTTGGTTAAATTCAATAAAAACTGTCTTGATTCCGTACAATATTTATCGGTCAAGTACCTTTAGATTTAATAAACATTTCCTTCGTCTATGTAAACATGATGTTAATATAAACATTCACTATTTTTATGTTCAGTAAGCAAAATGTTAAAAAAAAAGACAGTGATAATAAAATTGATAAAAATGGCGGAGATCCATGATGTTGTTTATTTTATTATTATCATTATCCGAAGTTTAATTTGCGGATATAATTTGTTATCAACATTTAGTCAGATAGCATGAAGATATCGTTAAAATCTATTTTATAACTGTTTTAACACAGATTTTGTGATAATAAATGCTTAATGTCTGACTTTTAATTTATCTGTAAATAAAATATATGCTACAGTTTGCTGAAATGCTTGTTTTTATCTTCAAGCACTTAGCCGATTGCAATCTTTCATTCCATTACGGCAGCGTGCTAAATTTTTCATTGTAAATAAAGCAGCTTTCTCACATATTGAGTGAATAATATAGAAAATATTAGAAAACACAAATGGGGGTTTCTTTAGGTTTTCCCATTACTTTGAAGCATATATATGAGCCGCGTCATGTCAAAACCAATATAGTGTGTTTGCGACCAGCATGGATCCAGACCAGCCTGCGCATCCGCGCAGTCTGATCAGGATCCGTGCTGTTCGCTGTGAGTTTCTCTACTTGTAATAGGGTTTGTAAGCGAAGAGCATGGATCCTGATCAGACTGCGCGGATGCGCAGGCTGGTCTGGATCCATGCTGGTCGCAAACCCATTATGTTGGTTTTGTCGTGACGCGGCTCATATATGTTCATTTCTTTTGTCTCACGATTTTTTATTTTTTTTCGAATTATATTGTTTTATCGTCGTAATCGTCGTCGTCGTCAACGTTTTTTAAACACTTTTTTTTGTTGTTTTTTATTCACTTCCGTCTAAGATATGTGTTGTGATTAATCAGAAACCTTTTTCAGTAAAATTAATAATGACTCTGTTGTTTTTGTACATCTGCCTTCTTACCGAGTTTCTTTATATTATCAATTTTAAGTAAGGAGAAGGAAAAAAACACGAAAATGTAAGTGTAACAAAGTCGCTTTAAATAATTTTGCTCGTATATCAAACAATTTCAGTAGATTATTTTTAGCGTTCATGGATATTTAGCTAGTGCATGCGATATCTGATAAATTAGTTGATAATTTTCACCACAGTTACAGCAGTTGGAGGGCACTTGTATATGATATAAGTTATCATAAATTGTGACCGGAGTTTAATTTTGATATACATGTCATAAATTACAATCTTAGACTGGACTTTAATTTTTGATATTGATGTTGGACGTAACAATACATTTACTTTGAAAGATGCATCTTAAATACATTGTATGAAGCTGTTAATCGCGAATACCTGTTTATGTTAAAATTTTAAACAATATATAAATATCATATGTTTAGAAATTGAATATTTGGTTTACATCTGTACCAGAGGATTCATGTGTGCACCTGATTAAGTGATAACAAAGTCCCACTTTAAGGGACAACATACCGGTTCTAGTGGTGTAGTGATCAGTGTCAGAACAGGTTGTTGGTTCGGGGTACAATTTGTGCTAGGTTACCTTCAGAAAGGGTTTTTAAACTGTAAGACAAACATTTCTTTCAGACTCGAAACATTAAATTTTGTATTTTATTGGTTTAAATCAGCATCGGGTCCGTTTATCGAGTATTTTTACAGTATCTTTGTTGCGTTTTATAAATCAGTATTGTTTTTTCTCTGTTTGGTGTTATTGTTTGGTTTTTGTTGTTGTTGTTTACTTTATCAAATAAGCAGCAGACGTTCCTAAAATCTTTTGACAACGATCATACAATTGTCGAAACATGCGTATATTATATTTAGGGAATGTTAGTAAAATGTACACACAGGTTTACTATTTATAAATATGATAACCGTAGCCGCAAGCATTATATCTGTGTTATATTACATGTTAATAAACGAATTATGTTCCGGTCATATGATGTACAATTAAAACGTTTGAAGTACATTACGCAATATGGTTATAAAAATACGTACGTTTAAGACACGGTACTCTGTAAGGTAATAAAAAATTACGTACGTTAATAAAGGTACATCACGTTATAATATCATACAAAATCACGTACGTTAAAGGCACATTACGCTATAAAGTTATAACGAATGACATACGTTAAAGGTACATTACACTATAAGTTTATAAATAAATCACGTTATTTAAAGGCACATTACGCTCATGGTTATAAAAAATCTCATTATTTAAAGGTACATTACGCTAGATATGTAGATAAACTAACAAGACCACACTATCGGTATGTAATGACTGTCACCTTTCATATGACAACCGATAAGTGTTATATTGGTAGTCGTATGTAAATTTATAAGTTATACTTTTTTATCTTCCATCAATTTCAAATGCATTTATCATTAAGGAAAGCATTTTATTAATAGAAATACGTTTTTTCATTAATTGGAATTCACAGAACGAATCAAATTAGTTTCAAAATTGTTTCTACAAATCTTGGAGTGCTCGGCTTGATCATTTTAATTTTATTTTGTTTACTTTTTGCTACCTTTACGACACACAACTGCATGTTCACTTTTTTAGTGCTACTTTTTTCAGTTGCAAAGTACCTTTCTCTTAAGCACAATTTAAACATTATTAAACATATGTTTGACATTTCTAAACGATAAAAAAGAATATGGATAGCTGAGGCATGGTGTGTCTTTAAAATAAGGTTAAATGGGCTTGTTGGTCTTATATATTTGAGTGGTCTTATGAATCGGTTTAACTGGTCTTATGAATGGGTTTTACTGTAACATCGCTTGATAGATAAATAGTTTTATAGGTCATATATGCACTGTCATGATACTGTACTTGACTTTCACTAGGTGAGACATATTTAGGTCACCTCAGGCACTAAATTAATCCAGATATCATTTTCATCATGGACTGGTATACAATCTTTTCACACATTTTAACCATTGACTGCTGTAAAAATGTTCACCAAAATTTGATATGTTTGAAAACATGTCCGTAATATGCTGTTACGCGAGCACTTGTTTTTACATTTGTATTGATAATTACTTTTGATGAAATGTACATGTACAGCGAATACTAACGTATACATTACATCCTATGAAACTGTTGATATTCAAATTTATGGATTTTCTTAAGTTTAAACATAGTTTATTTGAAAAAGTTTCACAGCATATACATGTATATATACAAATAATACAAATTAGTTATGTACACAATTGTAAAAAATGATTGGATCGGAAATCTATTTTTATAAATACCTTCTCTTTGTAGATTTACATTATAGCGGTAAACGTGACTTGCATGAAACATATATGATTTCGTTCATACAATTCTTTTAGTTCGATTGTGTTGGAAGCTATAAATTTATTGAAACACTTTCGAATCCGTTCCTGGAACCAACCAGTACTTAGATGAATGTAAAGTTTCTTAATCAAGGAAACAACGGCTTGTCCCTGGCGGGGTTTGAACCTACGCGGTCAGCAATCCCTAGATTACTAGTCCGACGAGTATGATTAAACATCCTTCTTTCTTAATGGTTAAGGTCAAGGTTGTGTTTTTCATTTAGTTGTAATCTAGAGCAAAACGCACAAAGAAAATTGAGAAAACAAGACCAAAGAATTTTGTTGAATAGAACTGTGTAGAAATAATATAGAATAAGACATCAAGGAAATGGACTTTGTTTCCTTCTTACCTTGAAAGTGGTATAGATTTATTTTATAATAATAATAACTGTAAACTTATCACTGCAATAAAGAGCGATGTCTTGGATTTTGATTATACATGTTCTGTTTTTTTTCTGTTTAAAATTAATAAAATTAGTATTAGATTATTAGTTTTTAATGTTTATCGTATTTAAAAAAAATAAAAATTAAAGCCAATTTAAGCATTATGAATGCACAGGTATAAACAATAACAAAATTTATTAATATAAATTTAGTTTTCAGACAGATAAATATAAAAAAGTTATATATTGTTTAAACCTTACCGCTTATTTCAAATCACGACATAAAAGTACAAAATGTATCTAATATAATACATGAATAATTGTTTTCAATAATGTCTGAAAAACAAACACAAAGTAGGAGAGAAAAATGCCAAACTTGATTTCACGTGTAAAACGTTCTGAAAATCGAGTCGACTGCAATGTTTTTCTTATAAGTACATGTCTACAATTTAAGACTTGACATACTTATACGAGCCGCGTCATGACAAAACCAACGTTATGCGTTTGCGACCAGCATGGATCCAGACCAGCCTGCGCATCCGCGCAGTCTGATCAGGATCCATGCTGTTCGCTTACCAACCCTATTACAAGTAGAGAAACTGATAGCGAACAGCATGGATCCTGATCAGACTACGCGGATGCGCAAGCTGGTCTGGATCCATGCTGGTCGCAAATCCACTATGTTGGTTTTGTCGTGACACGGCTCATACGTGTTTACTAATTCAAGGAGTTTCCTTCATGGTGACGTATTAAAAGCTCTTAATACGAATATCGTCTGCTAGGCCAGTATTAAAACCCCAACGAGAACGTTTCTGATTGAGTAATTAATTTATTTTGTTCTATTTTCAGATGCTTTTGGGATAACTAACGACGTTAAAGGTTTTGTTACCATTCTAAGAAGTTACAAGACGGTGGCGGCATCCATCAAACAAAGAGAGATATACTTAAATTGGAAAAGAAATTAACGAAGAAAAATAATCAGTGGTTGAAAGTAAACATATATCGAGCTATGCCTTTAAAACAGAGTCCTACGCAAGTGGTGGACGACAAAGAAATATAAGTTTACCCTTATTATCCATATTTGCTTTGTTGAAGTAGCGTTGAAAACTTTTACGAAGAAAGAAAGAGGAGGGGATCTTGTTTACATAATATTTCAAATAATTAGCAGGAAGAATTTGGTATATTGACGACGGTTGTTCAATGGAGAAGAGTTTACCTGATACGATGCGTAAATGACTAAGCTAGTATGATCTAAATTGATAAACAATTTACGCAAATCATCACTTTATATTAAATAAATTCAAGATCAAGTTATCATTTGTGTATATATGCCGCACAATCGGTTGAGGAATAAAGTGTAAAGTACTCGTAATATTAGCAAAATGAACGCCGTGCTTTTTTGACAGGTTTTAAATTATAAATAACGGAGAAAGTAGATATTGAAACGATAATTGCCGGAAAGGAAACGTGAAAATAAACGAACTTGAAGAAATATATATACAAAATGCTTGATGTGTCATTGAACCGAATTTAATATTATAAAAGGTAGATGGTATCTTTGTTATAAATCGACGCTATATCGGAGTTAATAACTGCTTAATAGAAGTGACCCGCGTGGCATTTAATATCGGGTTATTTTACCTGTCAGTTTAAATGAAAGGAATCTTGAAAAAAAATGTCATAGTTTAATATATCAGATCAAATCAATTTGTTGAAATGTATTAGAGACATCGATAAGATAACATGACTTTTCGGCTTATTTATCTCATATAACATTAGCACAGGATTAGGGAAAAAAACTTACTTGATTTGATAAAAAAAAAGATTGCGGGAGAGTGATTAAATAAGTAATTACTTTCGCCAGATGGATATATAGAAGTTATATGAACAGTAATCATTATTGTATGGAAGTGTAATGTGGTAAATGTTGTTCGATAGCATTTGGTAACAGCCGCAATAAATGATTGTGTAACAGTGCGATATATTAAATATACGTTCAAGAATTAATCAATACCGGAAGTGGCGCGCGTTAAGCGTTTGTGAGCGTTGAAGGAAAGAATTGTTTCAGTATACCAAATTTTTGACGGTGTGATTAGAGAATTAGACATAAGTTTTAATCAAGCACACAGAAAGCTTGCTCGGTTAATGAACTTTAATGCGTTGGTATTTGTTTTGCGCACTGTGCTAAAATCAGGATATATTTTATTTCTTATATAAAAGCAAGAAGGAACAAGAAAATAGTTTTAACGTTTGGAAAATAAATGGTCCTATTCAGTTGATCTATTTATATACACAATATTCAATGCATTGAGGGACTCCATTTTCTTTGTGAAATATCAATAGATTTTTTGCTTTCGGAGTTATTGTCAGGCGTGAAACCGCGTTAACCTTTCATTTAAAAGAGGGACTTTTTCATTTGATTAATTGATTGAGTTTTCTATAGCCTATAAAACGTCGCTTTGTAATACGAATGGTATGAATAATTATGACATTTATTAAACATTTATTGACAACAGGCGCCTTGCTGTGAATGGATACGAAAATGAAATAAAAAAAGGAAGAAAACCTAGCAGAATCGGGTAGAATTTATTAAAAGGAATGCTTTATTAGGAGAGCTCGACCAAAACTGATCCGAACTCATTAAAAACATCAATTTGACAGTCATTCTCAAAAAAAATCATTTAAATCAAAAAACCTCTCGTCAGCCGATCTCCATTCTTACTGTTGAATTGTGTAGATCTACTTGAAAAATAAGTAAATAAATGTTTAAACAACGCTTATATATCTCCAATGGCGTGGATACCCCGCTTTCAATATCAATATATATAGGTAAGCAAAATCGATCAAAACTTCAATAGTTTTATTTGTATAAGAACCCGTGGATGGGACTATATATTTTCCATCTTTCCGAAATCTATTTATCGGCAAATTTATTTGAGAGTTTTTAATTCATAAATGACAAACGGTTTAAATGGACAGGTTTGTTAGAGGAAATCGTACAACATTCAAGTGGATTAGTTAACAAAAATCAAAACAAAAAGGGGAAGGTTTAATTCATATATAGCTATATGTGTACGACAGATAAATAAATAAAAATAAAATACAATGTCTGGGGAAAATGTTGCAACATTGTCTATGAACGATTGATTGGAAAGGGAATAAATATTGTTGTGTTTGGAATAAATAAAATCATGTTAACAAACTATACAGTGGTCGGAGGTGGAGGAAGAAGTACAATATCCACAATGTTTATTGGTCCAACTAAATCTTCAATCATCACAACAATTACATCTATTGCAAACACGTCTGCTAATTCGTCAGACGCGCCCGGAAGTGACGCAGAGGAAAACGTCACAAATAAAGTTGTGGTAGGCACGTTTTTGTGCTTAATAATATTTCTTTCTCTTGCTGGAAATATTCTAGTGTGTATAGCAGTATTCACTGACCGAAGATTGAAAAGGCTTAATAATATGTTTATTGTTTCTTTGGCTGTGGCCGATCTTTGGGTGTCGTTGATGGTCATGACGTTTGCAGTAGTTAATGACATCACAGGAAAATGGATGTTCGGTAGCGCTTATTGCAATGTTTGGATATCTTCTGACGTTATGGGTTCGACCGCGTCAATTCTGAATTTGTGTGTAATATCGTTAGATAGATACATTCATATACGTGATCCGCTGAAATATGCTAGGTGGATGAACTGGAAAAAAGTTGTCATAGCAATCAGCCTCGTTTGGACAATTTCAATAATTTTGTCATTTATTCCAATAAACGTTGGTTGGCATAAAAGTCCAGAGGATTATGATAAAGAACTTCCGCCGGAAGTATGCTACCTAGAAATCAGCGGGACATACGCAATTGTGTCATCCTCAATTAGTTTTTATCTTCCATGCATTGTAATGCTAGCGTTGTATTGTAAATTATACATGTACGCACGTGAACAAGTTCGAAGTATAAATAGTACGCTTGTTCATAACCACATTGGAGAACAACGTGGTTCCGGTCAAGCGTCTAGATTAAGTGATCACAAAGCAGCTGTAACACTCGGAGTAATAATGGGCGTGTTTTTAATATGCTGGTTACCGTTCTTTATTCTGAACCTGATAGAAGCATATTGCAAATGTGCACCAATCATTTTATTTCAAATTCTCACGTGGTTAGGATATTTTAATTCATGTTTAAACCCAATCATTTATAGTATTTTTAACTCAGAATTCCGAAATGCCTTTAAAAAGATTTTATTTCCAAAAAACTGTCGATGTTTAAACAGAGATAGACGCAGCTTCCGGTATGGAAGTCCAAAAAAGTCAAAGAACGGAACATCAACGAACAGTGAGTTTATAACAACACGTCACGAGAATGGCTCGAAAGCTTCCCACGATTCTAAGCACCCGTTGATGGAGGAAAAAATCACTGCATTATAAGATAAAAAAACATACTCTATGCTTTGTGATAGAACTGGAATTACATGAAATTCTAGATTTTATGATTACGCAAAAATAATATATATTTACACCGGTTTCAGGTGATAACATATTTTTTTGTTGTGAACGGGATTGTTGTGTACCCGTTTAAAAAGAACTGGTACGGATATTATCAAGGAACCTGCCATATTGTGATTTTTGCAAGTTTTTTTTCATTTTGTTAACTGTTGTCTCAAAGTTAGATAACGCATAAATAAAATTGTTATGATGTATTAGCATTTTTTTTCATATTCTAATTGTTTTTAAAGTGAATTGGTCTACAATGGAAGGTCTGTAAAATAATTATGTGGATAGCATTTAGTATCAAACATAACAAAAAAAACATATAAAAATTGTGTATGGATGTTGTTGATTGTTGGTGATATAAGTGATTCCTTACATTTATAAAGCAGGCAATGAATTATTCCACAACAAAATATCATTATTCGTCATATAAATGTTCATTCTAAATCACTTTAAACGTTGTCAGTTTTTATCAGTATTTGAAATTCTTATGGAAAATGTGCCCATTGTAGACCAATCCACTTTAAGCATTTTACTACTGTCATTTGACCATAGAATAATCATTTGAAGCGGACAATGAATGTCTATAGTTAGTACAGACAGTACGTTCGAACGTTAACCTAGAAAATGTTATATTAACTAGTACTTTAAACGTAGTGTCTCCGTCCGGTTCAAGACTTTTCTTCCACTGTATTTTTCCATTATTCTAAATGGCAATATTCTTACATCTGATTGTAAATAGTATCGTGAATTTATGTTAGCATATTCTATAATAATTTGATTTTTCCATAGTTTGCATATTTCAACTGAAGTTTAAAATATTTGTTCAAATAATTCGGGCTGAAACATTCAAAAGTATACGATAAATATGAATTTATTGTTGACTGTTAGATTGAATATATTTTCAAAATGCGGTCATTTTAAGGGAGAAATGGTTTAAAATCAAACTGAAAATTAGGTTCTTGCACTTTTTGTTAAAAGGGGTGTTTTAAAGTCTGTAACATGAAAGCTGTCTTGTTTTGTTGTTTTTTTTCGAGTATTAACCTGAAGAACATTATTTGTTATATTTTTGAACCCTTCAAATTCAGATCCCATGACTTGAAAAAAATCCAGCTTTTTTCTTTTATATAGCGACTGATATTTGTTAGTTAAAGTAAGTAATTATATATCTACAGACTGTGTAAACCAAACATAATTTGAAGAAGAAGAACTTAGTCCTCATTTCATTTTTATGTGTAAATGATCAGTGTGAGTCAGTACTTTGTCATAAAAACAAATATATATAGTATATATGATATATTTGCAAAATTTTGTAGTTTTATACAAAATGCCTGCAATATTGAAAGTTAACTAAGTTATATTGCATGAATTGACCCTTCCTGATTTATTTGTCAGAATAGACCCAGGACAAGTGCATATCCGCACAGGTTGTCTACGCACTCATAGGGCGGGACGACCAGGCCACATACTCTCGGCTGTTTACTGTAAATATCTCGAAAACCCTTCATGTGAAGAGTTCAGACTTTTATTCCGGACGAGTCAACTTGTGAAACTAATGTTTTCAAAAACAATCACGATAAAATGTATTTCCTATTTTCAGTGTTATTTAATTGTCCATCCAATTTGAGATCACTCTGATATGGTGGTGAGCGTTTAGACATTTCAATAGTTTTACAAATATTGCATTTTGCTAACTCTATTGAAAGAGGCTTCTTTCAAATGTATTGATCAGAGTTCGATGCAAATACTCTATGGATGATTTATTTGCAAAGAACGTGAATATATTTTCTATATTATGCAATAAACTATCTTCTTTGGAAAATTCATCTTACATCATATGAACCGTATATAGCTGAATAGTGTGTGAACAAATTTTAGATATAAAAGAATTTATTTCATAATTTTAAATTTTGTATTTAAATTTAGTAAACTCAAGAAGTAACTATTGATCTATTTTGATACTCTTTTATGCTTTTTGAACAAAGGTATGTTTACATATGCTAATATGAACTCTGTAAATATCTATGCTTTTTTAACAATATATTTAAAGTGTTTTACTACGCAAACTGGGTTGTATGAAAGCAATATACTTTCTGGGTTTTTTTTTCTTTCTAGTTAAAGCGTGCAATTTTTATGTATCAAATGTTGAAAAATACAGTTTGTGCTTATAGAACAGTTTGACGTTTAATTTCATAGGAATTCAAGTTTTCTCTTCAAACAAAATAATGGTGCCCACGTTAGAATTATAGCAATAAAGTATAATTGTTGATGAAAGCAATTGTATATAAATATTTCAAGTTTTAACCATCTACTTAGTTTTGATGATTAATTTGTAATTTGATAAAACTGCTAATATTTACCAGTGCCGCTTTTCAAACATCATTTCTAAAATACGAGTACAAGGAATACTTTTCTCTTTTAAATAATTGGACTTTTTGACTATTACTTTAATGCTTGATTCATGTAAAAATAAAGATCGATCGCAAACTTTTAATAACGTATTTATTTAATTGATCTATTTATTGAATAAAAAATGTTGTATATATTTCCTAGTTTTAATATAGTTCAAAGATAGATCAATTTGTACATTCAAGTGTTATAATCTTGAAAAGTACGTAAAACTTCGGATAGCTTCTTAACTTTCCGTATTTTTAATTCATTTGTTGTTATTATCAATTATTAAGTGATCTTATCGCAATTTTTTAATTAGATTTTTTTCCAATATAATACTCGAATATATATGTAAGATATGCTTGCTAATCATGGCAATACTATGTACTTCCATTTACCGAAATCCGTAACATCTATGCCATCAGTCATTATTTTCCGTACGTACGTCCCCAATTTTTAACTTAAGCGTCGGCGTGACACAATTAATCGATGTATCACAGACGCTCTTCATTTTCATTAATAAATCTACAGGAAGTGCCGAGCTTGGCAGGGTTAATGTCTTTTATTCATAAAATGAATGCCCTAATAATTGATGTATAATAGTAAAATAAATCGAACTTGAATGGGCGTTTAGCAGGCTACTATGGTGTACTGATTTATGTAAATGAAATGTTTATTGACTTTGATTGATGTTTGCAAACACAAACTGATAAAATCAGGAACATGATTTTAAAACTTTGATAGTTCATCTGTATATTGATTTTGTTGATGAGTCTACGTAAACAGTGAAAACTTACGAAACTGACATCTGTAAATAAAAATCAAGGTTGAGTGCTCATTTTTACTGTTGATTAAACAAAGTCGCATTATTTATATACATAACTTGCTTAATTTATTCATTATTCATGTCATTGTATTTGTTGAATGCAAAATGTTTTAATACCATTATTTGAAATACTTATATGTAAGCATTATACTTAAAAATAAATGAAATTTGAATACCTGTGCTTA